GTTACATTTTGAATGAATCTTCTGCCCTATTTCTTCACACAAAAATTTAAAGTTATCGGAAATGTTTAACTTGTGATTTGTGGACTTTTTTTGGACTTTTCTTGCTAACTATCTCAACAAATCTGATATCATAGGTTTAATTGACACAATAGGTTGTTGAAAGCCACCTTTACGAATGGCTTAGCCCCGTGAGTTTCAAAAAAAAGTATGGCTTTCAAATAACTCAAAGTTTTGAAAGCTTTTGACTTTACGCAAAAACTACCGTGCCAATTCTCAGGTTGTGTTCTATCGAGAAACCCTGTTTTGGGAATCTCCTCTGCTTCAGCGGCTAGACCTTTTGATCAATTTTAGAAAATTTTTGATTTTTCTTAACCGTTCTTAGAAGATTTTTGGAATATACACAATCAAATCTGAGATGAAAAACTTAATTGAAAGAACCGGTTAAGACAGTTGTTCAAGCAGAAGCGATGGCTCCTTAATTTTTAAAAGAGAAATTTTACCTCGTTGGGAAAATAGACTATCTCAAAATTTTGTACTCGTCTCACTTATGTTATCAGAGAAAAACTAAGGTTTTGGACAAAGTCCAAGTTTTGAAATCACATTTTTTGAAAAAAGTATAGCAAACTCATTCATTATCAAGCACGTATCTCCAGCGTTAGCTGGGCCCTTAGCTGTTTTTTCTCGAGACATAAGAAAGTTTTGGCTCACCTAGTTTTTTTTATGTTTGTGTTGTTTGTATCGCGTCTAAAATATGCTACTGGTTTTGAGATTTTTTAATTTTTGATCGACTTAAAAGTATTATAAAATTTCGGTTAAAAGTTTTAAGATTTTCTTTTATTCCGGGTTGACAAAAAAGCGAGTAACACAATTTCACACGCATGAAACTAGCACCTTACATGTCGATAAAGTTGTCTAGTATTTCTGCGCTAATTTTTTCGTGGCGTAAAAATGTGTGACTGGCGTTTGTTCTATGTTATGAAATGGTGCATATTCTAGCACCATTTCATAGCATATTCTTCATACCACTTTGTAAATTGTAAGCGGATTCTGCAACAGGCCAAAAACCGAATTGTTGCAGAATCCGCATTTTCCTGTTTTTCTTTGTTTTTTTTTGCTGTTTTGGAATCCATGGACAAAAAGCTAAGCATTGTATTGATCAAAATTGCTCCAAAAACAGGCAATTTTGCAGGATCCGCACAAAATTATGTGGAATCCAGAAGAGTTTGTGTAAAGATTAGTAAAAATAAAGGAAAAAGGATATCATAGAAAAAAGGACCCGAGAGTTTTATTACTTCGGGTACGCAAATGAATACTTCGGAATCTTTCAAGGATAGCATGAAGATTATTTGGCCGAGCATTTTGAGGGCTGCGGATTGGTTGCTCAAACCCAATCAATAGGTTAAAAAAATTAGTTCAAACAGTCTAACATCTCTTATTTCGACTGGGAAAACGGAGCATCGATTTTATGTGTAGGCGTTTGCCATAACATGCACAGTTTTGAGGTACCAATTTTGAGATCAACAATCTTCTCGAACTGGATGAACATTGCGGAGAAGCAGCTTTTACACCTTGCTCAGATCATTCTATTTCCCGTCGAATTAAAATTAGTTACCTATGGTAAAACCATAAAGAGCAATAGCAAGATTTGTACGTATTCCTCATTCTTGGAAGCGGCAGGTTTTCTTCGGTCCACTGGCTTTATAAGGTGTTTGGAAGACAAAAGTCTGATACTGAAATCTCTACTTAACTCGAAGCTTGGCATAAAATACCTCGGCACTGATTCGAAAACCCATCTCAACTATTTTCATTAAGGATTGGACTACATGTGCTCTGTGATAAACTCAAAAAGCGCCAATTGCTGAAGTCTACTGAAATCTATTATTGCGCTAAATAGCAAAAACGTAAAGCAGTCGCGGTAATTTATTTTTTTGACCGATATAATTTACAGCTCATTAATTGTAAGCAACCAGTTTTTCACCACAGGCTTGGACTGTTTCGGTTTATATTACGTCCCCATTCGAGGAGCACTGAGAGAAGAAGGTTTTTTGCACTTGCCTCACCACCAGGGATGTACACCTCGATGTTGTGCCTTCATTGAACACCACCTCATGTGAGATGGGCATCGAACAAACTATAAAGCGCTGCGGTACACCCAGCACTTTTTGGTGGGATAACGGAACCACTTTTGTTGGTGTAGAAAAATAATTTTTTGACTGCATCAAGCACTAGAACCGCTTAGCTCCAATGTATTTTCGCAAAATTGTATTGCGTGCAAGTTAAGCCTACCGAGTGCACCTATATCTACAGCAACTAATAAATACTTGACTCCATTGTTTTGACTAGCGAACTTGTCTACAAAAGCCAAGTCCATACACCAGATTTCATTGATATATTTAGAAAACGCTTGAAGTCGTCGGAAAGACCTGATTGGTGGACCAATTTTTGTATACGATGTCTTGGTTTGTAAAAACTTTTCTACTTTCTTTTTTGATAAACCACTCGCTTTACTCAAGTTTTGAAAAGAACACATTGTCCTTAGCGATAAACGTGTGCTCCACGGTACGCTAGGCAGAAGACGAATAGAAGACGAAAGGTTAGGAAGTACACGCCTGAAATACGAAACCGATAAAGAAGCGATTTGGAAGCGCTAATCCCCATTTAGTTTTTGCCTGTGCAGTACGCCGCAAGCTTCTTTCCGCTTTCTCAGGTGAAAAACTTCATCATAAGAAAAAATAATTACGAACGCAGTAGTATGATTACGCTAACTGACTACGAGAATATGTTCCTTTAAGACTTGGAATGCCCAATCTGACGTTGTACTCAAAACGGGTGATCTTGTATGGGTGGTTGTATGCTTTTATCTTTACGCTCGCATCGTTGAGCTTAACTAAGAAGATACGGATGTGCACGTTCTGCCGTTACTTTCGCTCTGGTTCGTCAGTCTTTGGAGACGGAGGTTTATCACTATCAAATAGATCACTATCAAATAACGTGGAAGTTAGTAGTGCTGAAATTTGATTGAACTTGGAGCAACAATGTGAAATTTGGTCTCGGGCAAAAACTTTAAATTAAATTGGTCGAGGGGTTCGTCGTAAGCTTGAACCTCAGCGCTTTCTTGTTTGTACTTTAGTAAACTACTCCTATGAACTTAGATTGTTCTAGAAGACTGTAGAAGCAGAACAGTCTTGAAAGTTCTAGAACGTTTTGAATTTTATTGGGAACAAACTTTGACCAATTTTAACCGTTTCATGCATTAAAATGTTGCAAACTTGATCAAATCTCGCCGCCAAAAAAGTTGCCTCAAGGACAAACTTCTGTGTAATGAGAGCTAGTTTTGATCATAAGACATTGCCAAACAACTCTGTACTTTACCAAAAAATACAAAAGTTGATTAGATGGAAAAAAATTTTCATCAATCAAATTAGCGATAGAAGTTCAAAATTTTTTGAACCTAATTAAATTGCTCTTTCCGATTTCCCAATCCTCTGGTAATTTCACCATTTCGTACTGCCTTAAAACTTAATAAGGCAGTATGTATGAACAAAAAATTAATCCAATCTCTCCACTTTTTCAATCATCATTACTGGATCGGCGCACAGTTGTGTTTCTATATGCTCCTGGATTGCAGAGACAAGTCTTTAAACATGTTGAAAATTTGTCGGAACGATCAAAGAAAATGAAAGAACAAAAAAAGAACAAAGGGAGCGTCCTTGTTGCGGAACCCGCCTACAATTCACAAAATGCACAGTTTTGCTCGTAATCATGTTCTGATTATGATTCATAACAGCAAAGTTCATTGTAAAAGCTCTTCAGGAAGTTTTTGACAAAATTAATGGGGGAGAGCAAATGCGGAAAAAAGTAAGACTGCTCATATTCAGAAGTTTTTTTAATTTGAAACAATAATAATGGTGTTAAAATAATGATGTACATAAATAATGGGCTTTTCTTCGTTTGCCCCCACCTGGCATGTGAATCAGTTTTAGTGTGTAACAAGGAGTTTTACAAGGTACCCGAACTCAGTAAGAAGAGAAAATAATCGATTACATTACAATTATAATTGTACTTTTATCAAAATTATAAATAATTCAAAACGCCAAATTTAGATGTTTAAATAGTTTATAATCCATTATAATGATAACATTTTTTGTGACAATATAATAAATTGTAATCAATTTTAAATTTTTAAAATTTTTCCGAAATAATTTATAATTTTTTATGATCTGTTATAATCTATTATAAGAAATTTTAATTCTTTTTTTTTCTGTCAAAAATCTCTAAAAATGAGTTGATTTGTCATTTTTTGGTTCATCTGAACGCAAACTTTTACCAGGAATTAAAAATTCCATAGAGGTTCTTTCATATTACTTGACAGAATCCCGCGGTAGGTGCAATTTAACTCTTCCATATGAATTATGAAACCAAAGCAACTAATGAAAAAATAAAAACTTTATAAATTTGAATTGGTTTGAAAACTGTTGAATCAATTTTCTCACTTTCACATAAACTAAAATCAATCTATAAACACCATAAAAAATAAGCAATTCAGATGCAAGGTCGAAGACAAAATGGACTAACAAAAGGGATTATAAACAGTTATAATGGGTTTTAATGGATTTTTCTACTAAACAATTGATTTAGAAATTCCGATAAAATAAGTCGATTTTGATCAATTATAATATATTATAATTGATCATTTTTTATTTCAAAAAAAAAGACTATCATTGATTATTAATTGATAAAAATCAGTTTTTTCTAAATATTTGTAAGACTGGTACTAAAGTCATATTAAAACCGATTATTAACGCTTGAAACTGGATGCGGGTAAAGTATGGAGACCAAATATGTAGTTCGTGACTTGAGTCTACATGTTAGACTTTAAAAGACTTTGATTGGGCAAAAAAGCCATATCATGTTTTGTTTTCTAAATAAAGTTTCGAAACATTTCATCAAATAAGAAACAACTACTAAGTTAATTAGTTAATTGCTCCCCAACTCTCATTTTTTGCATTTGGTATGAACTTTTATAAATTTTGACGGACTGCTTTGTAATTTTGCGTATACATATATGTACTTCAAGTATATAGTCAACTTCAGACATATCTTACTTTCATCCTTCAGAATGATGGTGCACTATAATGGCAAAGTGTAAAGTTGGTGGAGGAAAACTGTTCTATAAAAGAGCCGCGAAATCAAGTAGACAATCAATAAAACTATTTTACTTTAGCAATTAATGAAGTCACTGAGCGTTTTCCCATTCTCGACTGCGTGCGTTGAAGCAAAATAGTCTAGCAAAAACACAGACGATATCCAAGTTTCATCAAAATCCGCGTCAAGAACTACAGTCGGATACGAATCGCCGCCCAGTTTCGAAAACTTTTCTAACTCTTGATATGTCGCTTCCAAAACAGGCGGTATTTTTTCTACACTTCTTTTTGAGAAGAATGGTTGGCTTAATTTTGATGCTTTTTTCGGCGGTATCCAAATAGGGTGGCTTGCAACTTTCATGTTTCGTTTTGTCAGTACAGTTTTAAGAGCTTTGTTTCCTTCGAAGTCTTCTAAAAACAGGTCTGTATTGAAGCCTGTATTCTTTAGCAGTTCACGTTGTGAAGATATAAGCATAATATCCATTTCCTTTTCGTAATTGTATCTCAGAAAATACTCTTCGGGTTTTGGCGAGTCGCCACGTACGCCTAAAACTACTCTCAGATCGTTAAGCCATTCATTAACCAACTGAGAATGGTCGTAGACGAAGTCGCGGTAGACAAACAATCCTACATTTATGCTTTTTGCGACAGAATGAGCAAGTATTGTCGCAACAAGTCGTCGCGCTCGTCGTGCGTTCATTCCCACAGCTATTGCAAGTTTTAAAGTACCATTGGAAGAATGGCATTTCGGCTTTTTCCGATAGGATCTGTCGAATACACCGGGACTCCAAGTAGACGCATCGGGAACTTCAGGATACTCAGCATCCCATTGAGAGTATACAACTTTTTCCGACTTCATACGCGCTCGAAGACTGTCTTTGTCGGCTTTTGACCAGCCAGTCGGCTGCCAGTCGTGAAACTCGAGGAAAAATTGGTCCACTAATTTGAAGGTTCCGTCGTCCAGAAGCTTTTTGATCACATTGTACTCAGCTCCTTCGATGTCAATTTTGAGAATGACTTCATCCTGAACTTTGAAATTCTTGGTAATGAAGTGTGAAAGGTCAAAAGTTGGTACCTTGACCAGCCGCTGCAGCCCTCTCCATTCTTTTTTACCCTCCCATGCGAATAAACTTCCCCCTCCCCATTTTGACGCCAGCTTTTTCCTCTCGGGACTCCAAGGGGGTTCCAAATGGGCTTCCATGCTTCCATTTTTATCCGATACTCCCAGAGGAACCATTGCTGTATGGTTGACAAAGTCAGCGTAGAATGGTTTAAGGTTAGGGTCAATTTCGAACGAAATCATTGAGTATTCTTGAGCATTTGGGTAAATTTCGTGGAACAATTTGTACGTTGAACCTGTATTTGCGCCACAATCGATGAAAAATTTGCGACTGTTGTCACGATTTTGTGATTTTATTTGAGGAGTTCTTGGCTTCTGGACGCTTGTATCCGAAACCTGGCTGGAATCAATTTTAAAATCAGTGTTAGGTTTTAGATCAACTGCGTCATGTAATGAGTAACTGTTTATTATACGAGTCAAATCGTCTTTGCGACTATGCATGAGTACAAGTATGATAGCTGGGTAGTATAACATTGTATAACTTTCGAGAGTTGCAGTTGGTCGACTTTTTTTGTTCGGCTAAATCGATTTTCCGAGCTTTTATTAAAATCTACAAAGAACCTATTGCACCAAAAAATTCTGCGCAATTTAAAAAAAGGCCAAAAGAGACTTTTTAAGGCATTTTTTACGAAGTTTTGACCCGCCTCAAACTTTGGAATAGAAGCCAAAGATATCTCTAGAGAAACTTTTACATAGGTGAGTCAACCAAAAATGGATGTTGTAAAATAGAACCCCAAAAGAATCCTTCGGAAAAGTTTGGGAACCAAAACTGCTGGTGAGGCAGACAACTGATCAAATTCTATGGATCTATGAAGTAACTGATAAATAGAAGACCTCAAATTTAATCGGTGTCAAAGTTTGAGGATTAACGGATCAAGAAACTTGAATGAAGTCTAGTATGACCCACAAGTTTTGATTTTTCTTCTGACCTTAGCTATCATACTTGTACCTAAACCAGTTTGTTTTGGGCACAACGTAGAAACTCAGTAATGCCAGCAACATAAAAGGCAGAACCCACACAGAAATACGTCGATAATAACTTGATCCACCGCCCATCGCCTTGCTGAAAAACACAATTCCGAATAGAGATGAGGTGTTATATTTTGTATATGGAAAGACAGTTCTTCAATTTGTTCACTCCTGTTCAAAAAAATTGTCCACTTTTTTATATATAGTTTTCAGTGGCAAACTGGTTCTCAAAGTATTTTCCAAAAAAGAATTACATAAAACAAATAGTTGAAAAATGTAAAAAAATAAATTGCAAGAAAGTATAATAAACAAATATTTTTTTAGTTAGAAGTGGGCATTAAAATTTACCGTATCACGTTGTACAAAGGACTTCTGATGAAAATCTTGATTGATGAAAAGGTTTGAATGCAATAATATTTCAGTTTCAGCGATTCTCTTGTAACAAACATAATTAAAGCTAAAATTGGAGCTGCTTTAAATCACTTCAAACTATCTGCAAATTTAAAAGTTTTTTTCTCAATTTTTTTTCTGTGATCAATTTGCTAAAAATTTTCTGGCCCAGTTTTTTTATGAAATCATTGACTTTTTTGATTGATTTATTTTTTTTTCGCTGGAATTTTGTTATCCCTACTTTACAATCATATTTCAAAGTTTTTGTGTTGTTTTTTTTGTTTCGATTTAATTATATTTGTTGAAGAGCATAATGTGCTTTCAAAAGATTAAAAGAGTTCTGAGCAACATATGCATTTTGAGCGGTAAAAGATTTTTAATAAGAAGTCATTTTGTTCTTCTGAAAAAAAATCCTTGAAATGATTAGACGAATTCGCTTTTTTGCTTACATTAGAAAAGCCCAATCAATTTGACCCTGGCAAGAACTCAAAAAACGCTGTCAGTAACTAAAAAAAATTGTTTCAGATAAAATTAACACCTCAAATAAAACAGTCGGTCATTGTTAGTTATATACCAATTGGGGTTGCAGCAAACAAATCGAACCTTCGAAACTTATCTACATGCCGGCAGTTAAAAGGATTGATAATTTATCGCGCCATGTTTCCTCTGTAGCACCTTACGTACTTTGCTGAGCGGTTGTTTTTATTTCCAATTTGTTCTTGAAAAAAAAAGATAGCAAAAATCTGAAGCATTGAAATCTGAAAAACTGAATTGAGTCATTTCATGTGGTAAATTTTATTTTCCAGACAGAAGTACAGTGCTTTAAATTCTCCCTACATAATAAAAAAAACATGAAATTCAAAACGCGTTTTCCTCAAATTTGGTTTGATTTTAAACAAAAATGACGAAGACCAATCTTGCTTACAACTTTAACAAACCTAATATTTTTGGGTTTTTCAGTCAATTAAAAACTATTCCAAATCAACTAAATCATATAATGACAAAACTTTATCACTGCAAGCCAATCGAAATTTAAGAAAGGCTAGTCTCCAAAACTTGGCGCAGAAGGTATAAAAATATTTTAGCTTGACACCAAGTTTTTCTTTTTTTAGTAAATTTTTTTGGCAACGAAAACAAAAATAATTCTACAAAAGATTGAACCTTCTTAAATTCTGTTGTGTTATATAAGATTTTGCATAGATATAGTTTTGTCAGTAAATGAACAAATAGGTTTGCATTAAATTTTGATTGACTAAACAAAGCCAAAAACTATAGTTTTTGGCGTAATTTTTTGGGCCAGAATAACACGAAAAATGTACCATTTTAATTCTGTTAATATTTTGAGCATGGTTGGTCTTCATCATTTTTTTAAAAATCAACCCAACTTGAAAAAAACGCACTTGAAATTTCAAGTTTTATTTTTTTTGTCCTCATAATTTAAATCAGCAGCACTCAGTGGAAGGACGGGAAAATTACAGGCGCAAAACATACGGTCCTTCAAGAAACTGAAATTTGTTACGCGAAGAACTCAAAAAAAATTTGCAAAATACACCAGAAAAACTAAGTAAAAAGATGAAAACTGATGACCGTGTTCAATATTGTAACGGAAAAAGCTACTGAATCTAGAATATTAGCAGCATATTTTAGAGGCATATTCTGAAGCATATTAGACTACCTTCTGATGTCTTTCAGAGGATGTTAGGATGTTTGTACGAATTCAGAAAACGACTCAACCAAGGACCATAATGTTTTTTATCTTAGCTGCCCAATTTGAATTCAAAATTTTTGTGGATGCCAAAAAATTTCCGAGTCCTGATTAAAATTTTCCTTGTTGGTTTTTTTTCCGAACTTTCAGTCAAGATTACAATTGTTCCCAAAGATTATTTTATGATTCAGTGCTGCAAAACAAAATAAAGGTATCCGATCAAAAACGTATATCTATTATAAAATTATTTTCTTAGATTTTTTTAAAGATTTTCATTCAGTTTTAAATGATCAAACTCAAACTAGTCGATTTGAAGATGAAATCAGTCTGATAGTGAGCCAAAAACCTTCAAAGTTATTGCAAGAACAAATGTTGGAAAAATAAGGGTCTGTCTTTGTATTCCAATAAAAGTGGTTTTTTTTTATTTAACTGAAAATAGTTTAGACTCAGTTTTTTTTATAATAATCAAGAAACTAAAGTTTCGAAATCATGCAGATATCCAGGATTTTTCTTGGAACAAGACTTAAGCTTTTCAGTTCAAGGTAAAAAAATTTTGTGCAAAATGGCTCGAGGAATCCGTTCACTATATTTTACCAGGAATGTAGTACCCTTAATTGTTCGGATTAAATTGTTCAAGTGATTAGTGAATAAAGCAGATAAGGAATTAAACTGGGGAATTAAAGTCTGTTTCTTACGTAGAAATTTGAAAGAGGACGTGGTCTACTAAAAAAGCAAAACTGAAAAAAAGAAAGACCAGAAAAGAGTTTTTGGCTACGGAACAATTAAGTTGCATAGAAACAAGAGAACACTACAAGTAATACCCCAGTGTCGGTCAAACAACAGAAAAGAATCAGCGGCAAGAATTGGAAATCCCTACCTAAAGAAATCTGACTCGTCACTTTTCGCAAAAAAAGTCAGAGAAAAAATAAAGACACACCTTCTCTAGAAACACAAAGCGGCACCAATTGATAGAACACTCATTTGATAGAACACTAATTCAGATTCAGAAGGTACTTCTATTAATAATTTACGTCCTGGATGGTTCATTAAAAACAAACAAATTATTGATGCATGTGCAGTTTAAATTTTATGGTTGATTGTTTGTAAAAGTTATCATTCCTAGACTTGTTTTGTCAACCAAGAGGTTATATGAAAATACTATGCTCTGCTGAAAAACAAATTTCGGTCTGCTGATTTCAGTATAACAGCTTCAGCTCGACCAAAATGTAGGTCCTAACTATTATCCTGAACTCCTCATGTCATTTTTTTCTACAGAATAACTCTAGTCACAAGAGTCTAGTCACAAAAATCATAAAAATTCAAAATGCAATGGTTTCTGTGCCCACGGTTAATTTAATTGATAGTGTTTCTAGGCCTGCTTTGTCACCACTCTAAGCCTATTATCTCCACCTTGTGTACCAACGATTGCAATCAGTACGTACGTATCAAAAACGCATTGATCCGAACAAGCATTTAAAAAAGTCTGAAATTGATCATTTGAGCAGTGCTCCATGGGTTTGGCCTGTGCAAATCTTTTTAGTTAAAGACTTCATAACTATTAATCTTATTCGAAATCCCATTTAATTAAGTGCTATCAGATGTAGTGCCATTTTGCTACTCACCGCATGTCACTCTATCAGCTTCTCAGACTTCGATAACTGATAATCCGAGGCTTGCCTACCACAAGTATCAATGAAAAATCCTCATTTTTCAATTGCAAATAAATTGAGTTATCGTTGAAAAGTAATAGCAAAGACTCCAATAGTTACAACTGGGTCAGTTCGACGGTATAGCTCTCATAAAAGGTGGCACATATGGTTTGTGTAAGTCCGCTATGAGGCCTAGGAAATTTTACGTGACCAGAAAAAGTGACTTTAAAACTGCATTTATGCGAAATTAGACGTAATTGTATTGCTCGTGTCTGAAATTTGGCGATGTGTCGACTATAAAGCTCGACTACCAAAAAAGTTTTAAAATTGAAAAATGTATTGACCAGTATAAAAATTCAAACAGAAAATTTAAAGGATGCCCTTGCTCTCGCAAGTGAAACAAATACCGACAAAACTAAACCATTATACACAAAGTATTGATCAAACATACAATTCCAGGATCTCTTTAACTATATCCCCCTTCGGGTACCTAGTAACGAAAATCAAGTTAACATCCCCACCCCCCCCCCCCCCCCCCGATAGACCAAGTTAAGATCTTCCACCTCAGCATTTAATTCGCTTTAAATTTGCTAAGCCCCACATGTAAAATGCTCAATTCTGATTGGCAGAATTACTCCAACTTAGAACCAAGTTCCCGGCTTGACCTTCGTTGACCAAAAATTATTTTTAATTTTCGTTGACCAAAAATTAAAAAAATGATCATACTATTCCATAAACTAAGTCTATGGAAAATATTAATCAAAAAAATTTCATACATTTTGCAAAAGTGGTGCCATCGAATTTTCGAAGAAGTTTTTTCTTGTTTTGGCAAAAAATTTGGTTTATCATACTAAATAAAAAAGAAAAATTTTGCCAAAAAACGCTAATCGTACAATTTCCATTTATGGAAATTGTATGATAAATGTTTTTTTTTGACGGCGACAACAAAAATTTGTCCAAGTAATTTTGAAATTGCCCCAAAAATTTTTGTTATTGTTTTAACAGCAAATTTAATTTTTTGCGTGCATAACGTGGTCCTGGAAGCAGCACTAACATTGGATTGTTTTCTTTTTTGCTTATTAAACCTTTTTTAAAAAGCTAAAAACTCAAATTTTGTTTTGTATGGCATGGTTATGGATGCTTTGATCAATTTCTGATAATGTAACAACACAAATTTGGAAAGTAATCTTCGTTCAAAATTTTTTCCAAAAATTAAAATTTTGTTATTTTAGATTATTTGTGTAGTCCGCTAGATTATTTGTGTAGGACATTTCAGGTCATTTCTAATGCATTTTAACGCAATGCGGGCAAACGGTGGAAGAATAGTGGAGGAAGGAGGTTAACTTGGTCCAGTAACGAATAAATCCCTGTAAAGAATTAAACCAACGGTTAAGCTTATGATAGTTTTATACCATTCTTCCACCATTCTTCCAATGCGGGCAAACGATGGAGGAAGGAGGTTAACTTGGTCCAGTAACGAATAAATCCCTGTAAAGAATTAAACCAACGGTTAAGCTTATGATAGTTTTATACCCAGCCCCCCCCCCCCCCTTTAGTAGTGTACCGTAGAATACCTCCTTTAGCCAAGTGAGTTTGATCGATCAAATATGTTAAATCCGTCCCTATAAAGAAATACATAAAATTTGTTGTTGGGTGTGAGGTGGTGGTCGTATGCTAGGGGAAGGGGGTGCTGCTGGGCGTATGAATGTTAAGTTGATCCATTAAAAACTTTCTAGTCGGTTGCTTAATTTATCATTTTCTCAACTTTCTTTTTCTCAAAAATGCAAAATTGGTTCAATTTTAACGGATTATGATTGATGTTCTGTATTTCTGAGAAAAAAGCTAGTCATATGTTTGCTAGTCGATACATCTACATGTTTCCAAACGTTTATGCAAGTCAAGTCTTATGCTAGTCCAGCGATCACCTGAAATTTGTTCACATAATTATATGTGAAATGTTGTCCTGAGCAATAAATTTTGTAAGCCTTTTACTTTCCGTCCAATTTGCAAGTTTTTCAAAAAAATTGACGTCTATTTTCCGTTTTATTGGAGCCGTCTAATTTGCTTGTCGTCTAATTTCCTAACTCCCGTCCGCCATTGATTCCGTGCTTTCAACTGACCGATGACTGTGTTTGTTTCGAAAACACCAACCCTGGATAACAAATACTCATATATGATCATCAACCACTAATTCTCTTGTACATTTTTGATAGTTATTTTGCTTTAAGAAAACGCTCAAAGCGCTGAAATCATATTTAAAATTGGGCTAAAAACTTCGACTCGGGTATCATTGTAAGTTTTCAGCGCTGAATCAGAGATTGAAGTTTTGTCAGTGAGATAAAAAAAACTGGAAACTTCCCACACTCATTAAAAAGAGAAAATAATCGATTATATACGTATTTTAGTAAAATTATATTTAATTATAAGCGCCAATATTAGATGATTAAACGATTAATAATCCATTATATTAATGAACTTTTGATGACGTTTTAACAAATTACAATCAATTATAAATGATTATAATTTTTCCGAAAGTCTGTTATAATCTCTTACAATCTTTTATAATAGATTATAATCCCTTTTTCTATCAAAATATGATCTGACAAAAAAAAAACATTATAATGGGTTACAACTTAGCTATTCTGCATGAAAACACGGTAAAAATTTAACTTAATTTATGTTTGAGCTATAAGCAGGGGCGGATCTGGGATTTTCTCGAGGGAGGAGGCGGATTTTCAAAAACTTTTAGAAAATTTTGCCGACCTTTTTTTAGGCTGACTAGATTGATTTCTAGCTTTCCCCCATAAATTCGCTGAAGGCTATTGCAGTTTCTGCTAGTTCGGTAACCAACTGAAAATCACACATAACAAAACAAAAATAAAACGAAATCAAGCGATGACGTTTGTTGAAAAATTTGCTCGATTACAGGTCAGAAAAATTAAGGAACAGACTTTTAGATTTAAAAAAATTGATCATAATCAAAAAATATTAACTTTATAATCCATTTTTTATTGAATATGATCAATTCTTTTTGAAATTTATGGAGGCTGACAATAAAAGTTTATTGTAATATGTTATTTTCTCTTTTTACTGAGTGCGGGTTTGACTAGAATAGTTGATTATTAGATTGATTCCGAATTGCTGCTTCACAAATCATTTATCCTAGTGTTAAGATCACGGACAACCATATCAAGGTCAAAAAAGATCATATCAAAAAGAGCATTTAGAAGATCGTGCAAAGTATCATGAATAGTGCAAAAACTCATCTATGAGGCATTGAATATTTCAACAAAATATTGTAAGTAAAAAATTGAATTTTTTTTAATTGTCGTTGTGTAACATGAATATCAAGTCAGGATAATCAGAAACTTATACTTAGCAAAGCTTTGTTACAACTTCCAGGTTAACTACTCCTTTAAAATGTTTCTTAAGTTTTCGTATTCAATTTTTTGTTTCAAATTGCGTTTGAAAAATTCACAATGAAAACTTTGGACATTAATCCGAGCTCAGGCACGTTGATCCGGATTTTTGTTGGGAAGTTCCAAATTTTTTTTTCATTTGTTCATCAAATCACTAAACCTCGAGTTTAAAATTGCAAATTCAACAAGATTTCCTATACCAGGGCAGAGTCCTGAATGTTCCAACTGCTATCTATTGTCGATAACAGTTTTTTTGGTTCAGAAGAGTCTCATTAAACGTTCGAAAAAATGAAAACTAAGTTTTCATGTTTTTAAATTTTTTTGTTTAAGAACACAACAAGATATATGAAGTACCAAGTGATGAATTTTGCGACTGATAATGATTTAACTTGCTGGCCTTATTTTCTGAGGACTGATATAAAGGGCCGCTTACGTTTTAATAGCAAAAAGTATTTTGTGATTAAATACATCAAGTTGGCCGTATTGGTAAAATTTAGGCTCCTATAACTTCACGAAAAATCATCACGAACAATTGTTTTAAAATTTAAGGTCAAGACAGCAATATTTTCGAATGATATTTAAGACTGCCGATAGAAAAGCTAGAAGTTATTTAAAGATCCAAGTTTTTCTGAAGAAAAAACCATACTGAACATTTTGTCAATTTCTTCAAAAATTGGAGCAAAAACGAAGGGAATGTTCAAAACTCTTACCGTTGATTTCCTATTTGTCGTAAGTCTTAGGTCTCTCTGGTTTTTGTCGAAGGAAGAACTGACCAGAAGTGCCGAAGAAATAAATTCGTTCTACTTAAATATCAAGGGTGTCTATATTTCTGTTTCTTTGAACAACATATAAAAAATTTTCTGCTACTGCCAAAAAATATTGCCCGCCGTTAATTAATTATTCAAAATTTGATTTGTCTACGACAATTTTTTGATGGGCAATAAAACCGGTACCCAGTGTTTTTCTAACAAGATCTGAAATTTTTTATTTCGTAAGTTGATTCTCAGACCCAGGGGCGGATTTAGAGGGGGGGGGGGCGGACGCCCCCCCCCTCAGGGATTCGACCCCCTGCCGACCCAAAGGGTCCCCCTTTGATACTTTTTCAGAAATCCATTTTAGGCCGACCGAAACTAAAACTTTTCTAAAGGCGCCTTTGGCGCCAATATATACTAACTTTGAGGGGGAGCGCGCGCCAAAAAAAAACGCGATTTTTTTGTCAAAATTTTTCAAAAAGTGCCCAAAAACGGCTTTTTTGACTGTTTTTTCAAAAATTTGCCTCCGGCGCAGAAATTTTACCCAAAATAGGGGCAAAACAGTGCTTTGGGAGAGCTCAAAAAATCATATTGGTCGACCTAAAAAAAAAGGTCGTCAAAATTTTGGAAATATTTTTGAAAATCCGCCCCCCCCTCGAGAAAATCCTAGATCCGCCCCTGCTCAGACCTACAGTTCGTTATTTCAGATCTTTTATAAGAAATTAAAAACTTCAGATCTGAATTTTTGATCTGAAATAAATTTGAGAAACAAAACTTCAAAACTGAAATTAGATCTGAGAAAATTTTTGTTAATTAATGCATTTCGAGCAAACAATTGAGGTGCGGCTTATGATGTTATTGCAAAACGCAATTATATTTAGATTAGTTAGTGGAGAAAAACGTCCGAAAAATTGAGCAAAAGATTTTTTAAAAACTAGTTTCCTTCTTGTTCAAATGTTTCAATAAATTTTCAAATGTTTTCAGAAGAAATTACAAGCTTTTGAACTTTATGCCCTATTTATGCGTTTACGATGTTTATCTCGTTTTGCTTAGAGATTTCCGTTTAGAGATTTTGCTAACTACCTGTTAGCAGCTAGCAGAAGCTCTAAAGTACAAAACTACCTAAAATAGCAAAAAAAAAATGTCCCAGAATTTTTTGATGTTTTTGGACCAGAAATAACTCTGAAAAACACAAATTCAGATCTGAAACGTGATGTGAATATTGTTTTTTCAGATCTGAAATAACTAAGAATAACTAAAATTCAAATGTTAAGTTAGATCTGAAATAACTCATAATTTAAGTATCCAAGCGTTATTTTAA